GGGCTCCGGGCACAGAGGAAAACTCAGAGCCAGGCCACAAAGTTGGTTACCTTGTTCCACTAGATGCCAAGCACCGCATGAAGGGATGAGGGCATAAAGCCACTGTCCCCAGGGAAGGCACAGGTTGGTGGGAGAACTAGAAGTATAACGTAGTAATGAAAGCACAGTATGGTCTGTGCCAAAGAGCTGAGTCCCACACCATGTGAAGGTGGGGTCCAAAGCCAACACAGAAAGCCGCAGTACCTAAGGCAGAGTCTACATTAATCTTCAAAATGCCTTATGGTTTTCATGCTTTTTAAAGATTTTATTTATTTATTTGAGAGAGAGAGAGTGTGTGTGTAGGAGGAAGGGCAGAGGGGGAAGGAGAGGGACAAGCGGAGTCTGTGCTGAGTTCGGAGCCCAGCATGGGGCTCAATCTCACGACCCTGAGATCATGACCTGAGCGGAGACCAAGAGTGAGATGCTTAACCAACTGGGTCATCCAGGCACCCCAGTTTTCACGCTTTTATACAAGTTCGACATGGCCCTTCTCTCTAGAACGTTGTTTCTTGGGTTGAGCATAGTTGAGCTGGTTTTCTTTTGGCCCTGCTGTAAAATGGTATCCAACGGGAAGAACGGGCATTGCTCTCAGGCAGTAAGCAGCTTGTCCGGCAAGAGGTGGAAGGACCTGAGGAAGCAGCAGATGCAGCTGCCCCCTCATGCCCACCCCGCCTGCTCCATGGGCAGATCGGGGGATATACATCTGATCTAGCTTTGTGTCTGCAGCGTCTGTCTGTGCCATGTGCCAGGCTCCATCTGCATGAGTCAAGTGTGTGCACGGCATGACTGCACATCACTGAGATGCTGTGACGACAAGGACAAAGACACAGGAAGGACTGATTTGTCTGGGGGAGCTCAAGATGGGCTTCACAAGAGAAGGTACAATTTAAGCTGGGGCTTCAGATATCAGGGACACAGCATATGGCAATAAAGAACATAGCATGTTTAGGTAGTAAGCTGACTGGGATGAGCTCAATGGCTGGGAGGTAGGAGTAGGGCCTTCAGCATCAGGACAGCCCCACCTATAAAGCATCTTAGGCATCATGCAAGGAACGTGGCTTTGAAGTCAGACATTATGGGTAGGAAGCAGGAAAGCGACAGGCCAGATCTGTGTCTTAGTGACAGGCTAGATCTGCTTGCATTTGTAGAATGTCTGGAGCAGAGAAGGACTAATGAGGCATGGTGGGAAAGGGCCATGTGTTAGACATACTGGGCCAGTGGACTCAACCTCATGATGTCTCCAACCTCATGATCTGAGGGGAAAAGGGGATGACAATCTTATCTTCTAGGAGCTATTAAATAAAGTAGGGAAGATGGACAGGGGGCTGTATCCACTTGGGGCCACAGCGCATTTAAAATAATTGGGAACTTTCAGCTGGAGGCGCCAGAAATCCACTGCAAGTTGGGACTGAATCTCAGAAATCAAAGCAAAGTGAGTGATGTGGATTTTAATTCCATGTATGTTAGAGGACAGATGGTGAGGTCATCATATGAAATGCGCCTGACAGGGTACTTCCCACCCGGCAGGAGCTCAGGTGTGGGGGCTGATGTAGCTGTAGTCATTCCTGTGAATGGCCCCCTCCCTGCTGCTCTGGGGGACAGTGAGGCCACAGAAGTGAATGACATGGCCAGTGGGAGTCCTCTGTCAGAAGAAAGTCAGTGGAAACCAACAGTTAAGGGACAAAGCCAAAAAGAAGAATAAAAAGCAAGAATTAAAAACATATGAGGAGAAACAAGAGAGAACAGGGTCTGGGGAGCCAGAGGAAGTGAGAATTTCAAAGGAGAGTGACTCAGTGTCAAAATAAGTGAGATAAAGAGTGAAGGGCCCAGGCTGTCTTCGGAAGTTGGGAGGCTACCTATGACCTTGGCAAGGGCCATTGTTGTGACAAAATGCTGGGAGAGGAGGCTGCTACTGGGGGATGGAAATGCAGGGGAGGCAAGCACTAGATGGGGAACCCCATGACAAGTCTCCCTGGAAGGCCTGAAGCAGAAGTCCTTCGAAAGAAATGAAAGGCTTCTTTCAATGCATGCAGCAGCATCTACTTCTGCCATTTTAATTAGTTGTTATCTGATATTTGGTATTTGAGACCCACAATATGCTAAGGGAAGCTTTGGTTTCATGTTCTCATCTGTCTGCCTTTACTTTCCATTTCGCACACTGTTTCTACATATTCATTCTCATGTGAGAAAGCTGGAAGTTGGAAACTTCCTGGAGCATTCAAAGGCTGGGCTCAACAGAGATCATCTCCTGATCGAGTCACATCCTGACATGTCTTCCCTGGGTCCAGGATTGAGTTTTTTCAAGACATGAAATTGGAGAGGGGTCCCTAAAACACTTTAAACTTGCAGTATCACCTTCCATTTGTGTAGCTGGATTTTAGATCCTGAGGTATTTCTACAGCCATTGCTTCATCTCATTCTTACAACGACCCTAAGGGAGAGGAAAAGCAGATAAGCTTATTCTCCTGTTATAGATCAAAATAACAGCAAGCAAACAAACAAAACGCTGGAAGCTCCGATTTATGCAAAGGTCACGTTCTTTCCCATCCCCTACTCTTTCAAGTAAATTATCAGTGGCAATGATGCCTTGATTTGTAAAAGGCCTAATAATATCCTATCCAGATATATTTCAATCACAGAGCAGGGAGAGAGAGAATGAGAGAGAGACCATGTGACAGTACTTTTGCCTGAATCATCTCAGTCAGGTTGACCACCACTCTAGCAGTTTCCAATAGTGCCATGGTTCTAATCTTGTGTGCTCATTAGAATCCCTTGGCAGCACTTTATAAAAAGGAAGATGCCTGGGCCTTCCCCAAAACTGAAACTGTCAAAGACTGATTGACTAGAAACATACAGGAGAGCAAAGAATAAAATAGCAGAGCAGAAAAGCAAGAATGTGTAACTAAAACTACATTCTAAGGTACAGCAGGCAGAGTTGTGTGGGAAAAAATAATCATTAATGTATGTTTTGCATGCTTGAGGATATACCCTATTGATGCAGTTTGAAATTAAAATGTTGACTGTTCAATTTGAAAACAAGACACACACATACACACCATTAGGCGGAATCCCTATTCTCACAACAGGTGCGCACATCTACCTCGTGGAGGCTTATGGCACACACGTACAAGCACGTTAACAGACATTTACATGTACCCTTTATCATGTGGGCTCTTAGTTAACCAGAATAGATGGGTACACGTTGTAACTACAGAGCCATGATGCTGGTTCCATGAGCCCCACAGCATTATGACAAAATGCTGTTCCCCAAATCACCTAAGTCCCTATTTTCTTAAGTAATGTCAGTAACCTGGAGTTATTTTAGTGTACTTGGTATGTGCCTACTACCTGCATGGTTCCAATCAGGAGGCAGAATTGCAGAGGAGCTAAGACAGTTATCAAATAATAATTGTTTTCTAAGTTTTCTATAAAGATGGTGCTGGCGGCCCATAGTCATCAGGTTGTGGCGAGAAGCAGATGTGCCAGATGCTTCTTGATGTCTACATGATGGCTGGCTGGCAGGGAGGAGAAAGCTGGAGGTCCGAAAACCAGAGCCCACCTGAACGGGTCCACCCAAGGACATGCCGAGAACCCTCATCAGGTTGTTGCTCTGATATGCTCCCCAGATAGGGAGGCCAGATAAAATACAGGACACCAGTTAAATGTGGATTTTGATAAATAACAATGTCCCAAATACTGCATGGGGCAGACTTACAAACAAAATTCACTATTTATCTGAAGTCCAAGTTTAAAGGGCATTCTGTACTTTTATTTACTAAGTTTGGCAACCCTCCTATCAGGGAAAGCCCCCATAATGGTTTCCACCACCCAAGAAACTTCAGATTGTTCCATATTTTTGTATTATTAATTAGCACCTATAAATATTTTAAAGACATACTTTCTGAAATAGTATCCTTCTCTTTTCTGCATCTAACATATCATTTCTAATTTTTCAGATTAAGGGCACAATGAACTATTCTTTAATGTCTTAAGTCTTTCTTCTAGGAAACACCATCAATACCATCATGAGTGACTTATACTCTGTATATTAAGTTTACAACAGTCTCCATGAAACAGAAATATTCAAAAAGTGCAGATTTAGCATTTGGATCTTTTAACCAAATCTCCAACCTTTCTGAATGCTCACTTTCAACTGAAAGCCTTTCTAGAAAATAATGATGTAAATCATATTATCATTACTCACATAAAGGTGGCCCACTGCAGCCCTTCCAGAAAGCTACAGAGGATTTTCACAATCTCAACTGCTCTTTAAAAAAAAAAAAATCTGTTTTCTATTATGAAAAATAATCTAAAAATAGTTCCACATATCACAAGGACAAAGCCATCTGTATGATCTCTCCAAAGAGCTCATATTTCTATAGATTTTTATCACTTTCCAACTGTTTCATCAAGTTCTGAAATTTAAGAAAGTCACGTAGATTTGGCAGCTTAAACTCCTCAAAATATTAAATTGAATTGCTAATATTGCAATTATTTTATATTATTCTTTTACATCATAGAAGGCTCAAATAAAATATGTATCAAAGTAAACAAAGCACAAAACTGCATTAAAACTCATTATAAACTTCCTTAAAAGTTGCATTAACATGTCTCTACCAATAATCGATGGATAAAACCAAAATGTTGGTGCAACAGAAAAATACCCAGCACTCCAGTAAAACACACAGAGAAATTGTGTATCTGGAAATGTTAGCCCCGGTGTGTGTTTGGAAAAATAACTTTCAACAGATGTAAATAATGTTGGGCCACTCATCAGGACTGTCACATCAAAACTGGTGTGTATTTTCTCTTAAGAATCAAGATTTCACTCTAGAAGAATAAAGTCAGCATTAAAATAAAGACAAAACTTGAACAGAAGAATATGAAGGCAGTTAACATGATTTTTAAACTTGAGCCATATAAGAGAAGTCCAGAAAATGAGAGAAAATGAAACAACTGACCTTTGCATGGATGCTCTCCATTGGGTCCCAGAGGTCTCCATTCAAGAGAGAGACATGGACGACTTCGTAAGCTCCTCCCCAGCCCCTTCTTCCAGCCAGCTGCATGGAAGGTGCTAATTTGTTTCCCAGGTTCACCCCTGCATCAAAAAGAAAACAGCCCTGTTCTTCATTCTTGTCAGGAAGAGTCCGGCATCAGACGCTTATGACATAAATGACTCATTGAAAATATTTGGAAGCTGAAGGAAGCCAGGGAAACAGCACTATCTATTAAGTCACAGTCAGTGTTAAAAGTGATGAATTCTCTGTCAATCTAGCCAAACAATTTTGTGACTTAAACAAAAGCTAATTTTTCCCTTCAAGTCCTATGGCATGTGCTGGGTGATGATCGAAGTCAAAGTATATAATTCCATCCTTCAACAAGCAACAAAAACACACAAGTGGTGACTTTTTAAGTGATGAATTAATGCTTTGCTTCAGATCAGCTCTCTATTAAACATCTCAAGGCTTTAGCTGTATTAAGACTAAATCCATTTACTTAAGTCCCAGTGAATCAGCTCAACACAATGCCAATTCTCCTCTCTGTACTTACGCAGGCTAATTTTATATGCTTCAGTGAGTGATTCTATAGACAAAATTAATTTGCTAGTTCAGACTGACTAGACTGGTTTATGTAAAAAAAAATTAAGTCATTCAATAAACTATTACATGATCTTGTTTCTTGGGGTCCTGTCGAACCAGTTAATGTCCCGACACAGGTTCAATTTAGCCCCATTTCCATAAACAATCCTAATGGAAAGTATAACATTTTTTTCTCTTCTGGAGAGTGTATCACTTCCTTAACAAGTCGGGTAATTTCTCTGGGCTTGTTCTCCTATGAGGTCACGTTCCTGCTATTTGGTGTGACCACAGTATATCCCTCAAGGTGAAGGATGGGAGCAGATTCCCTCACATGTTATTCCCATTTCTTCAACCAGGACTCATAATTTTCAGACCTGAGTCATAATAGCACCGTTTTAAGTTACTAAGGAGTTCACATTTATTGGGCACAAATGGTATTGAAATTTTAATCCTAGACATTTTACAGTTCTCCAAATACTTTTAAATCCACACCATTTTATCATTCTCGATGTGGAAGTCTGCAGTTATATTCAGGTTACAAAAGGATTACTACTTGAGTATTAACCGTCTGACACAGCCCCTCTGGAAAATTCTCAAGCTGGTCACAAAGCATTTAAAACTCCCAGTTGTTGAGGGACCATGGGAACGGGGATGAGCAAAGAGTTAGGGATATGGCCAGTGGCAGAGGAGGTGAGTGGACCCATTGGCCACAAGGGGTCGGGTGGGGGTGTGGGGGGAGAGGACCAGGAGCCACGTGAAGGAGGAGAGGAGAGTGTGTGGGGCCCAGGCCTGGGACAAGCTGAGTTGTTTGGGATGAACCCACATTCAAGTGATGAGGGTTCCAGCCCTGTAACCAGGGGGGATGGTTCTAGGTGGTGACATCTGTGGGCACCGATGGAGGGCTGGATGGAAGTGGAAGAACTGGAAAGAACTGCTATCTGAATGGAAAATGCTGTAGCCCTTCTCCTGGCTACAGAGGGGGCAGCCATTGGCAGCACAGAGATTGTGCTTAAATGACCTTGCTTTCACACCCTTCATTGCGCTCCCCGCTAGTGTGACATCACTATAAGTAGGGACTTCGGGGTCAGACATACCCCAGCACCAGTATCAACTCTTCCACGGATCAGCTGCGGGTCTCTGGTCCAGTTGTTTGCCCCCTGGTTGGTTCGTTCACTCATTCACTCACTCATTCGACAGCTATTTATTCCCTGTCTACCTCCTGATGGACACTGTGATGTCTTCCATTCAAAAAGCCCATCATTTCCGCTTTGGGCCAGTGTGCACTAATGTCACCTGGCTGGAGACAACCCCTCTGCCTACACTGCTGGGACCCTCATCTTGTAAATGCAGCTTAACACCGGAAGACTCCGTTCTCTCCATCCGGTGCATCTAAGAGAGGGACAAAGATAAAGCTGCCCTCACGACTTGTGTTCTTGTGTTGGCAGAAAGATGAAAAACACAACCATTTCAGAGAGCAGTCAGGACTATGAAAGAACAGGGCTACAGGGGCTCAGTGTTATCCTTGTATTGCTTCTGTAAATTTGCGATGGCTTCCAAATAAAAGATAATAAGGAAAATCGAAGTGACGGTAGAGTCGTGGGGAAGGCTACTTTTGATGGATAGGCCGGAAAAGACCTTTACTTGTAGGGAGGGGGTGCACATTAGCCCAGACGTGAAGATGAGAACCTTCCAGCCCCACACAGAACCAGAGGAAGAACGAGTCAGCAGGACAGCACGTGCTTTCCTTTTCCATAAAATGAGGCAGAGCTTGGGAAGGCCAGGAGGAAATATGCATGAAGCATAGAGAACAATGTCCACTGGTTTCACCGGCATCATTCTCGCCAAGACCCGGGTCTCTTGCTCAGGACTCTCAGTGGGATTCCCAAGTTGGAATTTACCAGAAGTTCATGCTGATCCAGTTATACAGCTCCTGCAGAACCAGACTACAGAGTGCAATTAGCTGAATGTATCTTAACCGAGAGCAGGTGTGTTATTCGAATTGGACTAAGAAGGCTTTGAAATACCAGCAATTACAGACTAAGAATTGGAGATCCATCTGAACTTTCCCCTAAACCAATGAAAACCATGCCATGTGCCAAGAGTCACCATGGCCAGCATTTTAATCTTTTGAAAAGTCAGGTGAAACTGTTAAGAAAGTGACTGCAAGCATTTAAAAGTGTTCTCTACAAAAACAAACCAATTTGATTATAAGCTGTTCCTGGCAGTTCTGGCAGTTAAACTTCCAATGCAAGTGGATTGCTAACTTGAGCGGTTAGTCACAAACCCAGTTGTCCAAGGGCTTATTAAATCCAAAACAGGAGTTCTGCATCACCCATCACCCAGCCACCATGGGGAAGACAGGATGCTCTCCGGGGCTATTCCAGCCACGCTGCTCAAAGACCGAGGAGATCTTCACCCTGCCTCAGACTCTTGGAGAACAGCCTTTGCATGCGACCGAACTCGCTTGACAAGAAACCATATGTTTTAGAAGGAAGGAGATGGCACCATGAGGTCCAGGTCTCCTGGGTGAATCATTAGCATGACTGCCAGCAGGGGCTCTAGAAGGGGTAGCAAGTCCACATCCTTGATTTGGGGGAAGCTGGGGAACCTCTGCGGGGCCTCCCATATGACAATCAGGCTGAAGCTGCACAAACCAAAAATCAAGGAACGTTTTTAATCCTCTGGACCTTTTTCCTCCAAGACTCTTGGTAGCAGAGAAAGAGAGTCATATACTCTCCTGAAGGCCAAATGCTCCAAGCACTGAACACCTCCCTTTCCACCTACATAGTCCATCATCTTCACCCCAAAGAAGTCCTTTTGGCTGAATTCTTTTTGTCTAAGAGGCTTTATTTCTAAATATTCCAAGGAGAATTTCGAGGCAGACTGTGCCAGCACTTGGAGAATGTTGTGCAACCTTTTTAAGAAATTGAGTAACTGCACTGTTTGCTGAGTACAGTATTTATTATCTATGTACATGGATAATGAAGCCATCCCTCAGCTTTTTAATTGGTTGCACCGTATCCCCCAGCAGTATCTGTAGTCAGAAGACCATTTCTTATGAGCTTTGCTTATGTATTTATACACTGGTATTTCTTTTAGATGATGCAAATAAAAATTTTATTTGTGCTACATGGATAGACAGAATAAATTATATACAGCTGTGAGATATCACAATATATTTTATGGAGTGATCTTGTTGACAAACCATAAAAGCAGGTCCTGAATGATGTATACATCCAAGCCCTCAGAAGCCCCGGGAAAAAATATGACCTTATAAAATATACAGTTTGCATACATTTTGTTTTTCCTAATATTTGGGCATCAACAAAATCGGTTGCTTAAATAAAAAATGTGAATAGTTTACATTGGGGAGGAACTTCTGGCTCTTTTTCTGTTGGGTAACCAGATACACTGCTTGCCATTTTGATAAAATGGCCAGTTTGCTTCAGTCTCATAGTGGGGAAAAAAGCATATTAGATACTTTGGTTTCTAACACAATTATCATCTGTAATAATGAACTTTACTTTCTCAAGGGAAATGTATATGTCTATTTTGCTTTTGTCCTTGTCTGAGCTTTTCACCTTCAGATTTGATTATGACCGGCCAACAGGGAAGGTGTAAGACCCAATTCCGCAAGCAAGCAAGCATCTTTGTAGCAATGGCTTTTAAGGTCTTGGAAAAGCCACCAACGAAGACACCTGCCCAAAAGGGACTGATGATCCCCCCGTATGAGTCACCCAGAGCCTGGCTGCCCATGAAAGTCCTGCCCGTCCCTGCTCTGGCCAATCCTCCTTTGCCTGCCTTATTAAGAACAACCACCTGATGCCCGTCGATGGGCTTCGGTTACGTACAGGCAGAGACTGCTGTGGAGGTCTGGACGGTGAGCAATGAACATCTTAGAGCCACAAGGCCTGGCCCCGGTCTTGAGTCCTCGGATCGATGCTCTCCAAGCCTACCCCTGAGGTTCTGCTCTCTACAAAGAGGGACAACATTTTCCTCCCTTCCTAGTTCTTACAGGGTGGAGGAAGCTCAACGCAGTCAAAGGGCTTTCAAAAAGTGGCAGAGGAGGTGAGTGGACCCATGCTTCAATGCATGAAGTTAGTTTAGGATATCTGAATGCACATTTCCAGACTTCTACACAGTGTTTGTCTGACCAAACCATGCTAACAGTGTGAAAATGACCACTGCCTGTCGATCGTCAGAAAATGCCGGGCGTCGGTACTGGTGGGTACCCATTCAGGCCACCTAGTGGGTCACTGGGGAAGCAAACTCTGATGAGATTACTACTCAAGATAAAACTTAAACATCACATATGGAGTTCTGGCTTTGAAAGGAAACCAGTATCAACACCTGCATGGACCTAAGAGAGGAGAATTGATCTGAGGCACTAAAAGTAGGATTAAGATAAATATTCTTCTGAAAATCTAGTTGGGGGAAAAAAAATTGAGGTAGCCATTATGAACTGCAAACCAATCTGGGGACAAGGCTCTGGAAACTCACAAAGCATTTTCCTTAGCCCCAAGTATGCAAAAGCTAAAGAA